AGGGAGAAGTCTCTGGAGCGGAGAGAGGGAATGATAGCAAGACCTGACCTAGCCCTAGGTCACAGGGGACTGAGACAGACCAGTGAATGTTGCTGGGCCAGAAATCTGCATGGAGGGTATGAAGGGCTTGGGTGGTGACTTATGGAACAACATGAACAGAGAGCAGAGAAAGGAAGAGTCTTGATCAATTTCTGTTTTGTGTCTGGAGAGTCATGAGTGAGGCAGTTGGTTAGCAGAATCTGATCAAATAGGACCTTCTAGGCCATGTTAGGGATGATGGAAGCCACCAGGGGGTTTAAGTAGGGGAGTGGCATGATCAGAGTTGTATGTTGGAAAGACCATTCTGTTTGCTGTAGGAACATGAATTAATTGGACTTGAGTGAGAAGGGATTCAAAGAGAACTATTAGGAAGCTGATGCAGTAGTTTAGGCAGGAACTGCTACCTCTGATGGAAGGGGAAATGGGGGCAACGGGATCAGTTTTTAGAGAGCTATAGGAGATGGCATCCTGTAATACTTGGTGACAGATAAGACTGTGTTAGAAAGACCCTCATATATTTGCCCCAGGAAGTAAACACAAAAGGAAACTGTGCAGTTTGACTCAGAAACAGTCAGTGGATGATAGAAAGTTGTTCGTGCTTCAGTTACATTGGTGGTAAGATTTAATTAGAAAAATACACATAGTAGAAGATTAAGGGAGTGAATATGGCTTTCTAATGATTCACTGTAGTTCCTACAACAATTGATTTTTTAAAAATGGTGCCAGTTGGCATTTTAAGCTTACTCAATTTTCATTCTTTCAAGTCCTACATATTCAAAAGATGTTAACATATCAGATGGTGTGATTCTATCATTTCTTGTGTGAACTTGTTCCACTAGAATTTTTCTACCATGGCTAGACAAACAGTAGTTTGGTTTTGCCAGAATGCTGTGGCTCATAAGCAAAGAAGGGTGCAAAGATTGACTATGGTTCAGTTTCTGTTCAGTTACTTGTTTAGATGTTTTAATGAGTTCAGTATGCATGAGTTTATAGTCTACGCTACTGATCCTTGCTAGTTATAAGAAATGAAAATGATTGGTTCAAAGAGCATTCATCACAAAATCAGGATAAGCAGGAATCAGGGATGAGCCTTCTTTATTATAATTCTTTATCCTCTGAGGGAAGATTGTTTGTTTGTTTGTTTGTTTGTTTTGCAATTTTTGGCCAGGTATGAACCAGCCTCCTCCGGTATATGGGGCCGGTGCCATATTCCTTTGAGCCCATTCCTTTGCCGCCCATCGTTTGAAGTTACTGAAAACTCCAGGAGCTAGAATATCTCAGCAGGAGGGCATGTTCACTTATACCTCCTATCCAAACGTGGGGAGAAGGAATGCTAAGCCACATTCTAAATGGCAGTCCTGACACATTCTTGGTCCAGCTGACAGAGCATTTCTCCCTAACTCTTGCGTATCTCTTTTGCAATTGGTTTAGAACCTGTGTGTACCAAGAGCCTATTCTTTTTTAGGCATACTGCCTAATGTACGGTGGAGTCTCAGTAAAAGACAGTAGTCATTACTGCTATTTTTAACATAATTAAAGATGACCAGCATGTGCAAAATGCTTGACTATGTAGTTAGGCCAACCGAATGAGGAGAGAAGAGGTAGAGAGAGTCTTGCCCAGAATCACATAGCACGTGGGAGTTAGGGGTCTCAAATGATAAAATGTACCTAGAGAGACTGCATCAGGATGGAATGAAAATATAAACATGAATGCAATATAAACACGAAAGCTTTATGCAAATGTAAAAGAATAAAAAATTAAAACATTTCTCAAATAAGCCTAGATATTGTTTCTTAAATATTAAAAAGCAACACCAATATTTTCATGAAAATTTTTTTTCCAAAAAAAATGATTTGAGCTGTAAGAATATTAATTGTTTTTTTCTAGGTAACCTGTTAGACCCAGTTTAATTTGTTTGATCAAAACAGACAAACAGGCTCGGTGCCTATAGCTCAACCGGCTAAGGCGCCAGCCACGTACACCTAAGGTGGCGAGTTCGAATCCCCAGCCCAGACCCGC